GGAGATTCTAAATGTGTTTGTTATCGGTCCAGGCTGAATTAACATTACTCATCTACTTCCTCTAAGTAAGATCACTGCTGTGTCTGCATAACAGACAGCGAAAATGAGGGTGCTCTTCACTCTCACACTCACACACTCACACACACGGTGAAGCAGCGGGGCACGGGGCACAGAGCACAGCAAGTGTACAGGCTGGCGGGACCTCTGGGGGGCTCTCAACACTCAAGCCCAAGGGTCCCCCAATGCCCTAACCCCACACTATCCCCATCTGCTCAGATCCCAAGTGACTGTGTGACAGAGCCACATAGTTTATGCTATGTGGTAGCGCAGGATCAACACTAACTTATCATTCCAAAAGAATGCTGCTTCTGGCCCACATCTCAGTCCTCCTTCATACTTAAACTTTTAAGCAATTAGTACAAGCTGGGTGTGGTGGCTCACGCCTGTAATCCTAGCACTTGGGAGGCTGAGGCAGGAGGAGCACCATAAGTTTGAGGCCAGCCTGGGCTACGTAGTGCGTTCAAGGCCAGCCTGGACTACACAGTGAGACCCTGTATTGAAAACCCAAAATGGACATGGATATGGATATATATATATATCAAGTAATGTGACACTGCCGGCACATCATGCAAGGATTTAAAAACTAGTTTTTAAAAAACAGGGACCTCCTTTCCTGCCATCATTGCAAGATGGGTCACATCTGAGTCACAATTCGTGTCAGTCATCCCACCAGCCCCCACCAGAGTGGACAGGATCTGAGGTGAAAGTAATGAATCTGGCCAGCTTGCGAGTCAGAATGCACAGGGATCTCTGTCCTGGAGATCTGAACCAGGCACATCAGAGTGGGTCTGCGGAGCTGCCCATGGCAAGCTCCCCAATTCAGATATACAGTGCATTTCTGGATCCATGAATTCCAACTGTATTTCTAAATCTGCAATTATCAGTAAGAAACATCTTGCTCTTAAAACACTGAGTAACTGAAGCTGGGCTTCAGAAATATAAGGCATGCTGGGGTACTTCAAAATATGCAAACATCAAGAAAACATGGTGCTTTGTATGTGGATTCCAAGAAAGAAGACCAGCTATACTATGAATGCAATCAGACTGAAACCTGGAAACACTGAAACAGTATTACAGTCCCCTGGTTAGTCATTACTTTCCAGTACCTGCTTTATGATCTGTAGTAGTGACCGTGCTTTATCAGAGCAGATTTTAACATTCTAGATGTTACTCTAGAATGTTTTCTTTCCCCATGATTAAGAAGCTAATAAAAAAATAATGGTGCCAGGTACCACAACAGTAACAGAACTTTGCTGTTTTCTGGGTATTTTTCTTTTCTTTCTCTCTTTTTTTAAATGGAATGTGCTGGATAATTTTGTTCAGATGACTGCAGAACCTGGAAAAGCTGTTGCTGCTATTGATGCATAACATACTGCTATTATTGGTCTTTTTATATAAATACACACACACACACACACACATATATAATTTGAATTTCTGGAAACTTTAAGTGTCCTGTCAACTTTGGAAAAAGTTATCCCAGTTTACTGTGTTGAGCTGGCGATGAACAGAAACTAACAGCCATATTGGTCTAGAAATGTTAGACTTAAATTTTTTTTCCCATTTGTACAGGAGTAATGCACTATATTAAATATGTAAGGTCTTATCTATGTAGGTTTGATTATAGAAACTAATAATGTATTTGCTAAAAAATAAATCATTACTTCCCAAAAAGGTGGTTTGCTAGCAAGAAAAGCACACAGACCCCTGCTTCTGTGGACAATAAGCTGCTCACCAAATCACAATTACCTTATCACAATTACCTTACCCACCACCAACGCTAATGTACAAGGTGAGCTCGCACTGCAGTGTGCTCTCCTGGCCTGGCAGCAGTGGTCTTGAAGGAACTTCCTGCTGGATTATGCAGTAACTGCTTATTTGTTCATAAGTCACAGAGAAAGCCAGCAACATTTGGATTCATAGAAGACTGTGTGCACACTTTCACCAAAAAGTAAGAAAATACAGTCTCTTCCTTGGCAGGTAGGTGTTCCGGGATCGAACTCAGGACTTTGCGCTTGCGAGGCAGGCACGGTGCCACTGAGCTAAATCCCTGGCCCCAGCAGGTAGGCATTCTTAATACAGACAGTCCCTGACTTACAATACAGCTCAACTTAACCATTTTTTTTGCTTTATGATGAAAGCAAAACGCATTCAGTATAGACTGGACAGAACTGTAAATTCTGAATTCTGCCCACTTCCTGGGCTGGTGATAGGCCCCACCATCCTCTCCTGTGAGGCTAGGCAGTGGCAGCAAGCAGAGCCACAGCGGCAGGGCAGCCTGTGAACAAGGCAAATAGTGCTCTTAGCAGACAGTGCTGTGCACGGCTTGGTAGGTTAGGTAGATTCAGTCAATTTTGACTTCTGATATTTTCAAATTACAGTGAGCTTATGGGGACAGAAAGTCAAGCAGCTTCTGTACCTTAATAAACGTAACAGCCACTCAGAAAGATTCTAAGTTTGAAAAATGTTTTGCGTTATTATTACCTACAGAACAAGTGATGCAAGAATTGCCCTTCTGGAATTTCAACCAAAACAGGAACGTTTCCATAAAGTACTCTTCCTTATTGCAACCAGTCCTCAAAAGTAGAGGAGACAGTGGCAGCACTGAGAGTAGCTCTTGGCCCTGGGGACCCTGCCTACCTCTCCTTCCCCCCAGGTGACAGAGTCACCCCGGGCCACCCCAGGTGCCTGCCCCTGCACCAGCTGCTCAGTGCTCCGCCCCAGGGCCTAGCTAACCCTGATCAGCCCCACCAGGGCCTCCTCACACCCTCCCAGCAAAACCCTCTGGGCAAGGCCTGTCTTCTCACCAGAGCTCTCTCTCTTCTCACCAGAGCTCTCTCTCTTCTCTTCCCTCTTTAATGCTTATCCTCACTATGAGTAGGCCCTCAGCCTCTTACCCTGGGCTCTATCCTCACACTGTGCTAGGGATTGGTAGAAAAGATACAAATATGATTTTGAGACCCTTTCCCCATTCTAAGACATTTCCCCAGTGACATTCTAGAGGGAAACTGGAGGATTCTAAAGACCTCCATTAAAACGTGCAGCTATACTGTGTGAAGTCCTCCTCAAAGAGGTGACGAAGAGCGTCTCTTTCTAAGAAGTCCAGAGGGAACATCTTCACGTGTCTCCTCTCTCGCTTCCCTCCTAACGCACTCTACCTAGCAGTTCTCTGAAGCTCCCCTAAGTCACATCGCTCTGGTTCTGACTCTCCAAGGGCAGGGCTAGGGAGCGGCTGGCCTGCCTCTGCATGGCTCATCCCGTGTGCGCACCTCAGCTCTGCATAGCGGGTTTGGAACAGCCTGGAGCTGCAGCCTCTCCGCTGGCTCCAGTCACCCCGGGGCCACCCTGGGCCACCATATACAGTCTTTCAGGGCACGAACTGTGCAGCCCTACGAGGCAGCCCTATTTCCACTAAAATGCTTCCCATTTCAGAGGGTTACAGATCATCAAAAAATATCCTCTGCATTTCCTACAACGGGCATATAGTCTGTGGTTAAAGACTGAGGAAAATTAGCCACAGGAAAGACAACTCATTTTAATGTTGCAATGCTAATCTGAGGCTTTCTCTAAGAAGACTCTTCTGAGTTACTCGCTCGATGGCAAGGAGCTGTGTCTCTCATTACTCTGAGGGCCTTGCACTGTCCTGTGGTCTTACACTCTCCTGTCGCCTCCTTCTCTCTCATCTTTTGCGCGCTAGGCTTTGTCTTAAGGCCCGACCGTGTTACTGCATTTAAGCCCCCTGGGAACCTATCGGGCTTTCACCATCCTTGCCCCATGAAACAGGAAACCGAGATTGGATAACTTGCTCAAGGTGAAAAAAAGAAAAAAAACAAAAATCAAACTAACCTATAGCTCTTATAGGTATCAATTTAAATCCAGCCCACTCCAGCTTCGAAATCCTTAACTCTGAAATATTTGGTAACTCCCCAGTGCCGGGCTCTGAGAGTCTCAGGCAGTGAGATGGCAACTTAGCCATTCTCCACTCATTCTAGTGCTTTTCTCAGGGACACAACCAGAAGCAGGAGCTCACAGAGCCTTTCTATGATTCAAAAAAAGATCCATTCCTTGCGGGGAAATGCTGGGCTGTTGATTATGACAGTGTGACGCGTAAGACAACAGCAGCCCCCAAAGTAAGCCCACGTGTCTCCAAGCTATGCAATGTCCCCAGCTCTACTGTCCCACTCAGTCCCAGTCTCAGTCCACTGCTTCTCCTCCTCTCTCAAGCTCTATTTGCAAATCAACCGGATGGGGCTGTGTTGCTCCCTTACATTAAACCCTCCAATGTTCCATGCTGCTTCTCACACTGGCCTGGGCATCAGGTTCCCTGCCTCCTTGAGCAGGAGTCTCGAAGTTTCTGCCGTCCTTTACTAAGCCTCAGCGAGCGCTGGCCTTCCCTCCGAATGGAGCGCTTACTCCCGATCACTGCCTGGGCGGGCCCTTCTCACTTAGGGTTCTCCTCCAATGCTGCCGTCTGAGATACTTTCTCTAAACACTCTACTATGTTCCAGGCTTGCACATCTAAGAGCAATGAGGAAACAACCTGAAACTTTCAAAGCCGCACTCCCTTAGGGAGGACAAAAGGCCACTCCTTTAGGACTCTACATTGTATGCACACATAATTTTTAAAATCCACTGAACTCACAACCAGGGGCTTAAGAAGGACACAAGTCTGTAACTATACTGATAGAGTACTTCAAGAGAGAGTTTATAAAATACACTTTCCCTAACTTCAGTAAAACCAGAAAAGGTGAATCAGTTTTCAATAAAAATCAGAAAATATTCAATATCTGACAGGTATTAGCACATTCTGTGAATTAGAACATCTATTTCCTGTGAGGGAGAGATATTATGTCCTCCCTGGGCAATCACTATAGCCTTCAATGTAGTCCTGCTTTACTTTTTACCTTCTGATGATGGTTTTTAAATGGTTAAGCACTTACCATAATGTGATTGAAATGCCTGCGGTTTGACAACCTGATTACAGTCGTTACACACCACCAAGTAGAAATCATCATGCGCTGGACAGAGACCAAATATTGGCATGTCTGCAACAAAGAAACAGAGCATCACTCACTCACCGGGCCATGACTGAGATGGAACCAATTGGAAGAATAGTCTTTCTAAAGGAACTGCCTTTTTATAAAGCACACAAGGATAAATGTCACTCCAGTTCAGAAGCATCCGGTGTGGCACACCACGATTAGGAGGGAAACAAAGGAGGTCAACAGAAAGACCTTCCAAAGTGTTAAAATAAAATGCACCAAAAATTATGATGCGGTGTCACAGACAAATCTATTAAAATACAAAGAATGAGTATATCTGCACAATGAAACAACTTTAGATGACCTCTGCCAAAAGTTATGGGAAAGTAATAATTCACAAAGCAGCATCACCGAACGTTTTAGTTATTTAATTACCCATTCTATTCCAGTCATCTGGTCCCTGAGTCCTATGAGCCAGTTAAGAAAAGGAGCATAGGTATCATTGCGCAGTAAAACTGCTGGTTTTACCAGCATGTAACACAAAGAAAATTATTTTTAAACTTTTTCCAGGTCACTACAACCCTTTTGCTTACACACTGAGGCCACCACACAGACTTCAGTACAGACTCAGCATTTCACACTTTAATCACAGTTTGGTTACCAGCACTGGGCAGAAGATAAGTCAACATAAAATGTAAAAGTGAAACTAAGCTATCTGCACACATGAAAACTGAAAGTAACTAAAGTTCCAACCGTGCCCTGAACCAATCTAGACCTGGGTGTGGTGGTGCAGCCTGTAACAGCAGCACTCTGTGAGACTGAGGATCCACTCTGAGCCCAGGTACTTAGCAATTTACTGAGACCCTGTTGCAAAATAAATAAATAAAGTCAAGGAAACAGCTGGGTATGGTAGTGCCTGTCTGTAATCCCAGCACTCAGGAGACCAAAGCAGGAGGACTACAGAGTTTGAGGCCAGCTTGGGCTAGACAGTGAGTTCCGGGCCAGCGTGAACTACACTGTGAGACCCTGTCTCAAAACACCAAAATCTAAGGAACAGAGCTGAAAGTTTAAACTTTACATATGTCAAAATTAATGATTTTAAACATTATTTTACACTACAGGCACTATTTAAAATATCTGCAATAAACAGACCGGAAGCACCTTTCAATTCAACAAATGTTTTAGTAGACCAAATGCCATGTTTAAAGAAGGAAAAGAAAAGACCCGAACAAGTGATTAGCATCTGCTTTCTTTCACAAAGATTTCATTTCATGGTCTCAAGCTTGGGTGATCTTGATGGTTAAAAGAAAGAAGAAAATGCCCTAAGAAGATGCCAACTGATGATAATCTCGAAAATTTCAAATTACTGATCTAATAAATCTATAAAGCTCAAATCTCAGGACCCAACATGATTCTGGGATGCAGCTGCAGCAGCCCTAAGCAGTTTCTATGAGCTGTTAACCCATTTTATCCTCACCACAATCTACACATAGATATCTCTGTCCATTCCATACTCCACCAAAGAAGAAACTGACTCACAAAGAGATGAAGTATTTTGTCTCAGGTCAACAGCTGGGATTCTATTCTGATCCATAATGATGCCTTGGGTTTGGTCCTCCTTGAAGAGAAGAGGAATGACCCCTAGACCTTCCATCCAGACTACAACTCCAGTAAACTCCTCTGACTGCATAAAATGATAACATAAGAAAGCTTCTGGTAGAATGCTTAGTCCTATGATTAAGCTTAGTTATTTAATGAATAATAAAAGCCAAACAATGTGCTATTTTCCTTGAAAGCATGCCCACACTGAGTTAAATATAGGACATGTGGGAGAAGGGGAAAGGTTATATTCCATGCAATGGTATACATAAAATAAGCCATTTTCCATGGCAGCTGTTTTTTGACATGACATTGAATTCTCAAAAATAAAAAAACTCAGAGTAATTTATCCCAAGTTCCATTATATCTCTGGACTAAATGTCTAAAAGAACTATTCAAAAGGAAAAGTCCAATATAAAAAAGGCGGTGTTTCATCTATAATTTACAGTTTAAAGTACATGATGTCTATAAATACTCAATAAGCAATTTCACTAATAAAATAAACTCAGATTAGTTTTATTAATTAAAGAGTACTTAAAACCACTTTAAATATACACTCTTCATTTAGTTTTAGTCCTCTATGATATACTGGGTTGTGTAGTTTCTTATAGTACTAAATGTCAAGTGAGACTGTTTGAAATATTATCACTTTGTCAGTTATCAGGTAGTTCTGAGGACTAGCTCACTCCTTTAAGGCAATTAAAAAATTAAGTGTATAGATTTTTTGAAGTAATAGGAGTCTGAATTTGACACGATGATGCTTACATAAAAAAACTCCTCTTTTTTTGCCCTAGTTCCTCTGATACTTTTGTGAGACGTACAGTAAAACTAAGAGGGAAGGGCCAAGGATTTAGCTCAGAGGTTCCGGCACCTGCCTCGAAAGCGAAAGGTCCCAAGTTCAATCCCAGGTACCAAAAACAAAACCAAAAAACTAAGAGGGTAAGGGACCTTCTATTCTGTAAGGGGCTAGGAATCTATACTTCTATAAACACTTCAGTTTCCTCAACGACTTAAGGTCATTTGCAATTGGTAATAATCACAATGACAACCAGCAGACATTCGAGAATACGACTTGCCAAGTCCTGTCCCATATTATGATGATTAACACATATTAATTGTACAAATTAGTGGGATATGCTGTGATGTGTCCTGTCTCCCTCCCTTCTACCCTCGTCCTCTCCCACTGCCATAGCCATACCCCATTTATTTCCAACCACAGACCTACAATGTGACTCTCATTTTACTTCTGAAGAAATAAACTTGTCTAATATCACCCAACGAGAAGGAAGCACAATCAGGACTCAGGCTTGTGTGACCTAAAAGTTCAGTTCCTAATCTCTCATTAGTACACTGCATCTTCCTAAATAACACATGTGTACATGTGTACCACACACACACACACACACACACACACACACACACACACCATGGAAGGAAACACGGTGTACTTAAATCTAGCTCATGTTACCCTACGAAACTGAGTCCGTGGTATAAAAGTCTAAAGCAACTTTAATTTTAGCTTTCTAAATTTTTTACTTTCACATTATCTGAATTTGAAAGCATTGAAAGCAAGCTAGAGGATACAAAATAATTTAAATAAAATGTCTTGTGCAAAGAAAAAAAGAGTTCAACATCCCTTTCTTGCACTGGGACATTCCAGGGACCTTAGCAACAGGAGCAGAGTGTGGAATATTGTGGCAACAAAAAGAAATGAAATAATTTGTGAGAGAGGTGGTACATACGGTTCTGAATAATTTTAAAGCATAAATTCAAAATCAGCTCACCCATAAACACACGACTCTCACCCAAATGCAGAGAAAAGTTAGATTTATGTAAGAAAAAATGCTGACTTAAGAAAAGTGAAGTCATTATTTAATATAAAGTTTACAAAATGCAACTTAAATATGTAACTTTATTATGTATTTGGAAATAATGAAACATTTTAGAGGTATACTTAAGTTTTAGAGATTCGGAACTAATGTGAGTGAACAGGCTTTACTGTGCGTGAGCTCCAGCTCTTCTGCTGGATTTGGGCCGGCCCTGTCCTGAAGAGCAAGAGGCCATGATGTGCTTGGGGAAGCCCTGGCCAGCATCCTGGAAGGACTGGGTTTTACCACGAGAACACACGCGCATATACACAGAGAAACACCACAGTCCCATGAGAACGAAAGCCCCTGCTGGAGACAGACCTCCACCAGTGGCGAAAGTAGTTAGGTAGCTATGCCGCTGTATCTCCATTCTGAAGACTGGCTCACCAACAGCAGGACTTGAGTGTCACAGCACACCATTTAACCTTTGCAGGATCTCCCTTTTCCCATGCATCCCAAACTTCTACATGTCAATGATGCCCACATTTCCATCCTCAGCCCAGACTACTCCCAAGCTCTGTCCAGACTCACATAGCCAACTCCCTGCCGGACACTGCCATCTGAAGTATCACATACCAATGAGTGTCCAAGAGAATATCCTCGTGGACCTGCTCTGTTGCCAAAAACCTTCCCCTTCTGAGTGCATGACACTATTCATCCCTCAGTGACGGAATCTAAAAATCCAGCTTTCAGCTCTGACTTCTACCCCTCATCACATCCAGGCCACCACCAGGTTCAATCAGCTTCACTCTAAAACCCCTGCCTGCTGCCCTCCATCACCTGAGCCTGACGGCAGTGCCCGACCCCTGTGCTCCTCCATGCTCTCTGGAAGAGGTCTCCGAAGTGGCCCCGTCTCCTCCACACCACAGACAAGGTGGCCTGAGTGTTTCCTTAGAAGCTGCTACCAGGTCCCACCACTGGGCGCATCTCCAGAGGCATTTGCGAGTCAAACCTCAGACCTATGACCACCTCCTGGTGCACATCTGCTCACTCCTGCGCTACTCCGCTCTGTGGTTCACTGTGCTTCGGGCTCACAGATCCCTTTTCTCCCCACCAGACCCAGAAATCTCTCCCGGTCAGCGCTGCACTTTTCCTCATGAGATGCCTGGCACCTCCTCACACATCGGGTCTCAGCTCACTGTCCCTCCCCAGCCAGCCACTCTGTACCGCGGGCAGGGACTGAGCAGAGGGCTCAGTGGGCACTCTCACTCTGATTGACGTGACCCTGGGCAAGTTCTATAACCTCTCTGAACTTCAGTTTCCCTGTGTGTCAAATACGGTGATCACAGTGCTTCCTTCACTGGCACCTCACGGGGAAGAGAAATACAGTCTCGGAAGGGGAGGCGGCTCTCTGAAGGCTTACTCAGTGTTCTCCCACAACCTGTGAGACACACATCGCGCACTGCATGGCACTGGTCAGGCGCCGGGATTTCACAAGCTGGTACAAGGCACAGCCAAATCTGAACCTGGGTCTGCGGGACACACAGGCCCAGATAACTTCCAGAGCTCTGGATCGGCCTCAGGGCTCAGGCTCAGGGCCGCTGCCTGAGGGCACGGCCTGGGGGCCTGCTCACTGCACAGGTCTCCTAACAGGCC